ACTTGATTTCATGGATGTTACGCTGGCAGTGCGGTGATAATTAGTAAGTATGAATCGGGCGGATCTATTTTGAATTGCTTCAACTGCAGATGTTAATACGTCAGTACCGGGGTCCCAAATTGAAGAGGCATATTCTAGTTTGGTGCGAACAAGTGTTTTGTAAAGAAGTAGTTTAAGTGATAAGGGAGCTGCTGAAAAATTTCGTTTTATGAAACCCAGCATACGATTGGCGTTACTTGTTACGTATTGAATATGAGTTTCCCAGGACAGATTGGATGAAATATGAACCCCCAAATATTTGTAGGTTGTTACTTGTTGTAAAGGAGTGTGGTTTAGGTAATAACAAGAGACATCACTCTGAAGCCGAGAAACCCTTATTACCTTACATTTGTTAGTGTTAAGCTGCATATGCCATAAGTCACACCATTCAGATACACGGTCAAGGTCACACTGAAGAGAAGAAACATCGGATTTGTTAGTCACTTCACGATATATAACACAGTCGTCAGCAAACAAGCTAATCGAAGATGAAACACAGGAGGGTAAGTCATTGACATATATAAGGAAAAGAAGAGGACCCAGTACAGACCCCTGCGGCACTCCGGACGTCACAGAAGCTGAAGGAGAAGACGTGTCATTCGCAAATACAAACTGAGACCGGTTAGTTAGGAAGGCGTGAATCCAAGATAGTGTAGCGGAATCAATGCTGAGTTTGCTTAGCTTATGAAGTAGTAGACTATGTGATACCTTATCAAATGCTTTAGCGAAATCGAGGAATATGCAGTCAGCTTGGGAACTTCGATCAAGAATAAGGTGAAGGTCGTTAGTGAAGGTTAGTAGCTGGGTTTCACACGAAAATGACTTACGAAAACCGTGTTGGGCGGGAGAAAAGAAGTTATTAGACTCCAAAAAGTTTACTAAATGTGAAAAAATGACGTGCTCAAGAATTTTGCATGGGATGCTTGTTAGCGATATGGGACGGTAATTAGAAGGAGAATGTTGATCACCCGTTTTGTGTATCGGCACCACCTTTCCCACCTTCCAGTCGTCCGGCAAATACCCACAATTAAGAGACTGATTAAATAGTTTAGAAAGTATTATTGAAGAATATTCTTTGGTACTTTTTAGGAATTTTGAATTAATATCATCTACTCCCGCGGAACACGATATTTTTAAATTATCGATTACATTAACAATTCCACAAGCATCAATAGCGACCGGGTACATAGGAACAAATCCAGTATGTTGAAATGGAGGTAAAGATGACACGTTAACGTCTGAAAATGAAGCCACAAAGGCGGAGTTCAAAACAAGGGCACACTCACTAAAAGGCACAGCATTTCCAGAGGAACTAAACAATGATATTGACGATTTTTCATTTCGATTAATTACATTCCAAAACTGCTTTGGGTTGCTTGTTAAAAGTGATGGTAGAGTTACATTAAAATAAGTAGCCTTCGCATTTTCAATAGCACTTTTATAATTATTGGCTGCAATATGGTATGCAGACCATTTAGAATCAACATTTGAAAATTTAGCTGCTCGAAATTTTTGTTTTTTCTTGTTAGAAAGCCTTTTTAATGTGGTGTTAAACCATGGTGATTGCGGGTTAACGGAAATATTGCGCAAAGGTATATATGTATTAGTAAGATGCACAACCTGCGTTTTAAATAAATCCCAATTTTCCTGAATTGAGCGTTCCGAAAAGAGCGGCAAGTAATCATCAAGAAAAAAAGAAAGTTCACTGTTAATGGCCTCGAAGTTACCTTTAGCATAGTCGCGTATTTTTTTCTGAATCTTTGGAGCATTTCTAACAGGAACATCGATGACAAAATGTATTAATGAATGATCACTTATGCCCTGCATGGTGCTAATTGAAGATATTAAAGAAGATGACGTTGTTAAAATTAGATCCAATATGTTGGCTGTTGTATGGGTAATTCTAGTAGGAAGAGTCATCAATTGACTGAAGCTGAAATCGCTACACATGTTTATGAAGTCAGTCGCGTCTGATGAAAATGGGTGACTGTAAGCATGCAAGCCAGTCCAGACTATATTTGGGTAGTTGAAGTCACCTAAAAGAATGATCGGAACGGAAGGAAAGCGTATTATTAATGAGTTTATTGCGTCATGAAGACTGGTAACGAAGGAATGATTGTTAGATGGCGGGCGATAGCATACACCCAAAATAAGTTTCTGGTTATTCAAATGCAAACAAACCCATGTTATTTCCAATTCGCTATTCAGGCGCACGCAAAACGATTCAATATGACTTGCAATTGCGATTAACACACCGCCACCAGTCCTTTCACCTCTATCGCAACGATAAACCTTGAAACTTTTTTCACAACAAAATATTTCGGAATTTTTAACAGAAGAGGAAAGCCACGTTTCGGTTAAAACCACAATATCAGCACTGGATGAGTCTATAGCAGAGCACAAGTCATCCCTATGACGCAACACACTCCTTATATTACAAAAAAGTACTGACAAATGTTTGTTTTTATCAGTACGACCCTCACCCCTCGCAACTCGTTATGATGATGCAGATGTTAGGTTAGTTGGAACAATCTCTGTGTTATCTCTCGCGCGCACATCGGGGGCGGAACCGAACTCAAAAACATTATCAGTAGTCGCGTTGTACATGTAGCACTTTTTGTTGACATGCAGCTTGTTATACCGCAGCTGATATATGCAATTCGTAGCTTTACCAAATTCAATTAGTTTTTTTCTGGCAATTCGAGTAGCTGGAGAAAAATCTTCGGTGATATACGTCGTGCTTCCTTTTAATTTTAGTCGCGAGAAAAGTACCTTGTCCTTGACCTTAAAGGAAGAAAACTTTATAACTAGCGGGCGACATCTGGTAGGATTGAAGGAGCCGATTCGATGTGCGCGCTCAATGCAATCTGGGGTAACCTGGAGCTGAAGGGAACGGGAAATAAGCTCGAGAACTTTTGTTTCACTTTCCGCCCATGTTTCTGACGCAACATCGGGAAGACCATGAATAATGAGGTTATCACGTCTTGAACGATCTTCAAGTTCATTAAGACGCTCGAGTAAGTTAACGTTATTGTTCTGCAAAGCTTCTGCGACGCCCTGCATCTCTTGAAAGTCGTGGTCGACTATTTCAAGCGCAGAAATCTTACTTTCAACAAGGAGGAGTCGACTTCCAAATTCGTTAATTTTTGCTTCAATGGATTGCTGGTTTTTTTTTATTTCTTCCACGGTTTTTATTAAACTGCTCTGCCCCTCCTGTGACTTTATGGCACGAGCATTAAGGTCTTGCAGCAGCTTGCATACATCATCTAGTTGCGTCGCTTGAGCTACAGTCATGGGGCCGGGGTTAAGCTCTACGTCGCCAGAGAGTAATAACAGTGACCTCAAAACGTCGAGACACTCCAGAAGTAATGCGAAAAAAACACTTGGGCACGGAAACAGCAAAAGGCAATGGTTGTTAGTTTTCTTAGCGTGTAGTGATGGAACGGAACCAACCTGCACAAGGATGCACACAGCGTTAGAACGATGCATTCCTAAGCTGTTTCCACGCCCACTGAAGCATCCAAGGGCGCTCCACGGTTTTAAAGCCAGGCCATCCGTGAGTGACGATGTCGATGTCGATGCGTAAACCCTCTCGAACGGAGTGAAGACACGCTGCGGTTGCGGCCAATCCGCGGGAGCACCGAAGGGCCCGCCGACGATGTTGTCCGGAAAGCCAAGCAACACTTGATTATTTGCTGACGGGGTGACGATGACTGGTTGAAGTAACGGTGACCAGCGCCGCAGGAAGAACAGCGATGCCAGTATCTGCACAAGGATGCACACAGCGTTAGAACGATGCATTCCTAAGCTGTTTCCATGCCCACTGAAGCATCCAAGGGCGCTCCACGGTTTTAAAGCCAGGCCATCCGTGAGTGACGATGTCGATGTCGATGCGTAAACCCTCTCGAACGGAGTGAAGACACGCTGCGGTTGCGGCCAATCCGCGGGAGCACCGAAGGGCCCGCCGACGATGTTGTCCGGAAAGCCAAGCAACACTTGATTATTTGCTGACGGGGTGACGATGACTGGTTGAAGTAACGGTGACCAGCGCCGCAGGAAGAACAGCGATGCCAGTATCTGCACAAGGATGCACACAGCGTTAGAACGATGCATTCCTAAGCTGTTTCCATGCCCACTGAAGCATCCAAGGGCGCTCCACGGTTTTAAAGCCAGGCCATCCGTGAGTGACGATGTCGATGTCGATGCGTAAACCCTCTCGAACGGAGTGAAGACACGCTGCGGTTGCGGCCAATCCGCGGGAGCACCGAAGGGCCCGCCGACGATGTTGTCCGGAAAGCCAAGCAACACTTGATTATTTGCTGACGGGGTGACGATGACTGGTTGAAGTAACGGTGACCAGCGCCGCAGGAAGAACAGCGATGCCAGTATCTGCACAAGGATGCACACAGCGTTAGAACGATGCATTCCTAAGCTGTTTCCATGCCCACACTGTTAAACCAATTAATCATCTAAATACCCACAAACTCATTAAAAGGCACGCAGTTCATTATTTCCCATGGCAATTATCTGAGAAAGAAAGGGCAGCGAGAACGCACAAATATTTGAGCACCGATTTTTTTCAACAACTACAAATATCAGCCTGGATTGCAACATGTATGTCACAAAATAAAGTTTCGGCGAACAACTTCTTTATCTAAATAATTACGATGTGAGACACATCTTGAGGTATAAAAGAATCCGAAATTAAAACCTATACCGAGAAATTAAATCCAAAATAGAGATTAGTTTCGGTTTCGCTCCAGAATTAAAACGCACATCCTTGCGTAAATATTACGCTAAACACCGCTCTCGTTTTCAGGGCGCCCATAACACCCTAGCTTTCTCGTATTACCAGAAATAATTTGTGTCGCTCAGTAAAGCCAGCACACTAGACAGGCTCAACAGCGGCACGCGTCTCCGACCCTCACTATAACCGCCATTTTGAAAAATGAGTGGCGCCACCTACAGTTATAGTTGGAGTCGCGGTGATCTCTGGTACCAGATTGACGGTTCAGCTCGCACGAGCGAAATTGGGAGCTCGTTCTCGCTAGCGCGTGCTTTCTTTGCTGGGGCCATCTTTCTCGAATAAAGCGCGAGACACATGCGCGAAAAAAACCATCCGATCCGACGTCCGATCCGGCAGTACGACTGCCTGATCCGAAAACTTTGGTCGCTTCAGGCGTCGGATCGGCGGTCCGACATGAGTCCAACACGCCAGATAGTTTCGCCTGGTTTCGCACGACGGACGGATTGTCGGATGCGTCCAGCCAATGACAGCACAGCTAGCGCGAACGTCATGGTGACGTACTGGGTCTGTCGGGACGAACAAGAAAACGGGACGGGCGACGGGAAGCCGGACGCGTGGATCCCGCTGACCCATTCGAGAAAGATGGCCCCCGGCGAAGAATGCACGCGCTAACGAGAACGATCTTCTAATTTCGCTCGTGTGCGCTAAACCGTCAATCTGGGACCAGAGATTTGTGAACGCGGACCTCCGCTGGGTGTGCTTGGATCTCCTGGGCGGAGCCAAACGGATCGTCGAGTCGCATGCAAGGTCGGAAGCGTGTGCCAACTGTCGCGTGCGGCGATTCGGAGCGGCGTTCGGACTGTCGGATCGGACGTCGGATCGGACGTCGGATCGGACGAATCTGCCGTCCATGTGTCTCGCGCTTGAATCAGCGGAATTCACGCGTCCGGCTTCCGGCCGCCCAAGTCAGTCCCGTTTTCCTGTTTGTCCCGCCATACCCAAAGCGTCATCATAACGTTCGCGCTAGCTGTGCTGTCATTGGCTGGACGCTTCCGACAATCCGTCCGCCGTGCGAAACTATCTGGCGCGTTAGACGCACGCCGGACTGCCGATCTGACTTCTGAAGTGACCAAACTTTTTGGATCAGACGTCGGGTCGGATGGATTTTTACGCGCATGTGTCTCGAGCTTTACTAATGGCACAAATCGAGCATTCGCTGCATTTGAACGCACAATTCAACATTGTAGGATATATGGGGATGAAGTGTTGAACATGCCGATTTCGTGATTCTTCAACTTGTTTTTAATTTTTGTTTTAGAAGAATACTGTAACATTGTTTTGATAGCTAACACTGATACCCTGTTTGCACGGTGTAAGAATATACCATGACCCTAATTAATTAGTGAAGGGGTTTCGCAGATCGAATGTCGTGAATTGCGCTCTGAGGACGATACGCGATAACTATAGGCAGTTTTCGTAGACCGTTTTCTCTACTCCGCTAACCTCTCCGCAACGAAGACGCCGCTAAAGCGCATGCGCGCAGCTGGCATTGAATGCAGGGTTTCGGATATCGTAGCGGTTTGCGGAGAGCGTTGCGGGACGGATGAAACGTCCTACAATATCTCCCCAATAAAGGGTTTTGATATGTCGTTCTGAACCCTCCGGTACCCACGATAACGATACTAGGGAGTTTTCGTAGACCGCGTTGCCCCCTCCGCTAAGCGTTCCGCAACGAAGAAGTTGCTACTGCGCCTGCGCGCCGATAGCCTTGACTGTGGAGTTCCCGCTATCGTAGCGGGTTGCGGAGGGCCTTGCGGGACGGCGAAAACGATCTACGAAAACTCCCTACTGTCACGAAGTTTTGCTCCCGCGAGTGTTTAGTCTAGCTTAACTTTTTTTTTTTTTTTTCTCCTTCTTCGAGGGTTTACTTGTCCCCACGGCACGGCCCATGACTTCTGCAGGAGTCGGGAGGCCTCAAATGGGAGAAACGTGAACGCTGAAACGGTACACTTAGTTCATACAACCCCGTGTCAAAGATGTTTTGTCTTGTGCATGTCTGCTTTTGGGATCTCCACTTGGGAAGTGGTTTCTCTGCGTGTATAACTTCTCTGTCTACGAATGTGTTTTGTACTGTTTATAACCGCTCTTGTGAGCTTCGTTCGAAATGTGTTCTTTCTTGTGTATGCGCTTGTTTTTGGAATGTTCATATTTGCTTTGGGCTCCGAGCCTTTTGATTGGCTCTTAGAAAATCTCCTGTGATTGGTTGCCAAAGTGGCTCCAGAGTGCTGCTACACTCAATATTCGCGACTCCAGCGACCTATAGGGGGCGCCACCACCAAACAAACATGGCGGCTGAGTCCAGGTCGCGGCGGCTCGGCCGGGCCTCCTGAATGGGTGGCGCGTTCAATTTAACAGATTTTCTTTTGTTTAATGCCCAGTTTTATAGGTATTTGAACTGAGACGGTGAAGTGTAGCCGGTGCAGATAAACTTGCAAAGCATAGTTTTGTTTTGCCGGTGTTGTTTTGTTCTTTTCGTGTCAAACTTTCGTTTCGGAGATTTCGTTCAAAACCGAAACTATGGGCTCCGGAGAGACGGTAATATACTAATCAGTTTTGATCATCTAAAGAAAGCGGCGATGACTATAGAATTGTTCCACAGATAGTAACTTTTCAGCTAACTCGCATGCCTCGACCATGCGACTTATCTGTCCGCGGAATCGAGCTTTTGTGCGTATCCGCGTTTACGAAACAGCTCCAGTCGTCTGCTTGGCCATCAACACAGGCTGCAGGAAAATTACGAAAATTAAGCAACCGCTTTTTGAGCCAAGGACCATGTTGACCCGCCGGCGCCCCACTAAGCGGCTGATACTCGTATTTCAATTCAGGTTTTAGTAGCAATCGAGAAGTCATTTTGACGAGCGGGTTATGTATTATATTACGTACTATGGTCCCACTAAAGCGATATTAGTATATCCTTCGGGTTGAAATATGAGATTAGTTGACTAGCTATTAGGTGAGCTGCTGAATAAAAGTATATTTGACAGACGAAGACATACTACTTAAATTTAGCCAAATGGTTCTATAGCCGGCAGCACGGAGACAAACTGAAGAGAGTCTTCATTGAAGACCCATGCAGAACCTCTCTGCATTGAACTTTGCTTCGAATCCTGAACGGAGAAAATTAGTATTTTTTTGTGGCCGGTCAACCTGATCAATGTAGACGTATATTACTGCTGGCTTCGACGTCCTGGTAATATAAATATTGGAAGCGCGATAGGTCAAAATGCCGTGGCAGCATCTAACGTTGCGAGACTTGTCTCCCACCTTTTGAAAACAGATAATATCCCTCATTCATCCTTTGCAGCGAGCAAGTTTTCCTGAATCAAGTAATTGCGAAATTAGCCCAACTCCTTCAGTGTGGTCCAGAGGCTTTTTCGGCGAAAGGCAGCCAAGATGAATAGCCAACGCACCGACCGGCGTGGGTGGCTCAATCTTGAAGCTAATCGAACACAACCAAACTCAAGGAAAGCAGCTATCGAACCTTCCCATTCACTTGACTGCAACATTGGTGTTGCCTCCAGTGAAACACCTCATCTGTCGTCCTCAGTCCACTGTTCTGCGATGTTATAAAGAAACCACTGATCAGTTACCAAGCAGTCGTCACTTTGAATGTGATTCGAGACAGACAAGAAATCAAAACATTCTTCCGTGATTCCTCCCCATCCAAGAAACCGAAAGCACGCGACCGTGTGCTGTGGAGTAAGCGGGCTTTCAAACACATAATAGAAGAAAACAATTTACTGAGGCTTCACCACACTAATGATCACTCAGGCAAACTTAAGAAATATTCGGACCTTCGTCAAATTACATTCTTCGCCACCGCGCCGACAACACGACTACGCGAAAGCCACCAGAGACGCGGAGGGGCGCGGAGCGACCTGGACCGGCTGGTTCCCGGTTTTCCCGCTTGGCGGCGTCCGTTTTGCTGGAGTCGCGAATAAGCAGCCGCCAACTGGCCGCAGAGGGCTTGGCTCCCGGATACCATTCCGTGAACATCAGCCGAAGGGGATCGGACGTGCAGGTTGGCCTTCGGAAGGCCAACCTGCACGTCCGATCCCCTTCGGCTGTAGAGTCTTCAGCCCGCTAGCTTGCAAACTTGGGGTCGGGAGTCGGGACCCCTTAAGGCTGTGGAGGAGTTCGGCTCGCCCGCCTTTGCGTGGATCCTTGTTTGTCGAGTTCAGCTGTGGTCGGGGTACCCGCTGAAGGTGTGGTCGAGGAGGACGGCAGGGGAAGTCGCCAGAGACAGGAGTATTTCTCCCCCAACGTTTATTGACGAATTCCCCATATCTGTTGCGAAAGAGTAACTTGTTTATATTCCCTAAATGAACAGTTGTTTGCTAATGTCAGAGCTTCATTAACGGAGAAAGAACTTCGCGACAATACGATGCATACGCAAAGGCGGCGACGGAGCATCGGGTACTGTTCTCGGAGTCATCGGAACGACCTTTTAAAGCTCTCTAATGCCCGACAGATAGCGATATGATGCCTGCGGAAGGGCGCCGGCAAATCATCGGGGAGAATTATAGAATGTATTAGAACGACTTATTAAAACTCTCTAATAAGGTACAATGAAGTATCGGAAAACGTAGATGTAGGGAATCGGACGGCAGTTAGTGCTCCAGCTACAAGCTCTCAATGATTTTTTTTAATGAAGCAATTACGGTAAGCTGTAGCAACATTTAGGTCCGTACAAACAGTTCTAGTATAACAGCAAATATAACCAGTTCATGTGACACAATTTGGGGATAACATCGCTTCGGTCTGAGAAAGATGTAAACATAGCGCACTGAGCGGCATTTCGGGTAGAGTTTCGTGCAAATAAAAGCTTTAGAAGTGAAATAAATTTGTCACTCCTCAGACATATTGCAAGCGATTCATATTCGGGCTTATTTCTTTACACTGTGGGTCAGTTTAAAGGGACAATGAAGACGATTTTAATTAAATTTTTTAAATGGTGTTTTTAGGCTTCTTAGGAACCTGGGATACTGCCAAATTTTTTATAGACATTTGTGACGCGTAATTCTGTACCTACGAGAGAACTGAAGAAACCGAAACTGAACTATCTGTGTTTCTCAATTTTGGGCCTCCGAAAACGGAGGTGACGAAGGGAGTGACGTCATATGTGAATTGTCGGTACCGGTAGCAATTAGGGCGTCGAGACTCTGGTTACCGCGGTGGGTTATAGCAGCGCCGTGTTCCGCGCTGCGTTCTTTATTTTATATATTTTCTTTGCTCATAGTTGCTCGTTGCCCGTTTCGCGTGCAGTGTAGCAAAGAGAAAAATAATTATGGTGTTTTATTTACGGTTTAGTTATCATTTTTGGTTCGATTTATAGTGTTCACGGTTATTCAAGTGGAATTAGAACAGTGTTCATAAAAACCACGAGCCGAAGCGTGGCCGAAAGCACGTTTCTCGTTTCGACCAATCGCTGACGCGTCTCTTGTGACGTCACGCTTCCAGGCCCCGCAGGGTCACGTGACCTCCGCTTCTGCTGGTTTCTCCCGCAACGCTCGGGGCGTCGCCTCGGTCGATCCCGGTACGATTATTACCGCGACTGTTTAATTGATCCGCGCGGCACACAAGCGCCGGTTTAGGCTGAAATTTGGGCAACGTGGCCTGAGACGTGCCGGGAACCCAGTTCAATCGCCAACAAAATATCCGAAATTGCCTTCATTGTCCCTTTAAGGAGCGCGGGGCCTGGCGGCGAGCATTATAGCTGCGCAGCCAATCAGGTGGCGTGATCAGTCGATAAGATGGTCGAAGAACCAATCGCGAAACAGGAAGCGCAAACATAATAATCCACACTCCGCGTTTTTGAGGTTATCAGTAGACTGTAGCGCAAAATTTGTTTTCTGGCGGCACCGCAATAGGAAGGCCCGTATAACTATAACTGCGCAGCTAATAACACCCAATGACTCGTAATTTATCGCGCGTCATATGCCGTCACTCGATTATTTAGACATCAAGGCGCGAACCATCTTCACGCTCTACAAGTTGATATTTTTTGCAAATATGCCAGCCGCGAATAGGTTACGGCTTATCGGTAACAAGGCGACGAAGCAACTGAAGTGAAACTTTGAAATCACGGGATATTTCGGTCAGAATTTTTAGTGACTTTCGGTCAAAGCCATGACCACTGGTGAAAATGAGTTTCGGCAATTACTCCATTCGAGAAAAATAAACTTTAAACGCCTGTCTTCAAGTACAACCGGAAATTGCGACAGAAGATGGAGGTCGGCATTTTTTGTTTATCATTTATAATGAAAATGAAAGTACCAGAAGGAGGAGTACGGGAAGTGACGTGAAAACAGGAAACATTAAACCGGTAGGAAATTTCCTTCAATTACTATAGCACCGGGACTTTAAATGAGATGTAAGCCTATGAGCGAAAGCGCCGCAAGTCCCAGAAATGCAGACAACGTGCGTCATCGGCCGTTCATTCTTGGCATGACGAGTCCACATTCTATACTCTGCGCAGTAACATCAACAACCAAACACGATAACATCAAACTTGTTACATTCCTACGCGTAACGACGCGAGGGTGACAAACCCTGTGATATCAAAATAAAATTCGCTTACGCTCAAACTGCCTCCGTTGACGCCAGACACCGTGTTTATGCTGCTCTCAATGGCTGTATACATTTCTGGCACATAGTGCCAGAAAAAACAGGTTGCATCTATCAGTCGTCGCCGACGTCGGTGCGTGCACCCACGCCATCGACGTCGTCGGCACAACGTAGCCAAAAAGAATCCCCCACCGAAAGAAAGCGAAGCTCAATCACTGCGTAGGAACGTGGCCGGAGGCCGTTCATCTTGATGAGGCGGTGACGTCTTCTTGGAAGAACGCCATTACAACCAAAGCGGCGAGCGGACGAAGTGGCAACGCATAGAACGGGGGATCGCCCCCTCGAGCGGCCGGCCGAGCTCACAAAGGGGCCCTCCCGATCCACCCCTCCTCCCGCAGAGAAAAGGACGATGGCTTCTCGAAATTCTCCAAACCTGTCGAGATACGTGCCCGAGATAACGCGCCAGTGAGCAACAGGTCCCGGACTGGAAGCCGCCGGTGGTAAACAAGCGGGTTCGTAAATCACCGCAGCCCGAGGGCAGGCAGCAGCCATCCTCCCAGCCAGGCCGAGCCGGGGCAGCCCAAGAAGCGCGCGCAGCATCGCTTTCAATTTATCCCCCCATCCGGCGACGCGTGCTCACTGTCCTTGAGAGCACGTCAAAGCCCTCGGGGCGCCCGCAGACACCCTCGCCGAATCCTCCGTCCCCCGAGTAAACGACGGGGCCCGTCGTCAATAATCGTCGGACCCCTCGAAGGACCAGTTGATCGGGCACGCCACCGCTGCCGCCGCTGTTGCTGCTACGGCCGCCGTTCGGGGAGAAGGACGGTGTTGTAACGAAGAAAAGCCTCCTACCTCGGCCAAACGGAATACTACCCAACCCACCCAGACCGAACAGCGCCTTGGATACTCGACACGACGATCGGCGGCGAACGGGCTCGCGGAATGCGGTAGACACTCGAGGCCTGCCCGCTCGTCTGGCCTGCCGCGACGTGAGCTTTCTCCTCACCGGAAGCGTGTATCGGCGACTTTTGACCGTTTAGAGAGCGATGCAGACACCGTGGACGGCTCAATCCCATCGGAACGACTTATCGGCGGTGGTCGGCCGCGGCGGCGATGAGGCTGTCCTCCCCGATAACAGCAGAACGACCTGAGCGCGACGTGATTGTGCCTCTCGTGCTGCGGCCCGCGTTGGCCGGAGTCGAACCATGCTGGCCGCTACGCGCCTGGCGTTCCTGGCCGCCTTCGGGGTGGTCTTGGGCGGTCGTACTGCTCGGGCCCTGGACCTCAAGGGGCTCGGATTCGACCCGGCCAAGTCTCTGAACATGGCGGCCGCCATGCTGCCTGTGGTGTGCAACGCCAATGAGCAACAGAAGACCGACATGGAGTGCGCCGGATGCATCTATTCCATCAGCGAGTTCCTCAGGGCTCTGGCCAGGGCCGAGGAGTGGGCCATCACGAGTGAGTAACCTCGACAAGAGATCTTGTGTCCATTATTATTTATGAAATGTGGGATTAATCCGGGTGGATGCTTCACTTCGAGCGCGAGCTTTTTATACCATAGCACTTCGTCGCACGCGTAATCAAAGCACGACGGAAGGCAACGAAGGCGCGCTGAGGGCGGAGTTTCTACTGGGTTTGTAACCCGTCGCGGACTGTAATTTGTTCCTACGTTCAAGTCCCGTTTTGACTGTCCGCGGGCATAACTGTTCTCTCACGCTCTTTCCCTGTGGCTTACATCACGGTCACTTGCAAATAGACGATAATAATAAGGTACGCCCGGTTCGTGACAAAGCGACGCTTTTTTGATAGCGTATACACCACCACACAAGAAGGATAATTTAACCAGCTCTTGATAGAAAAAAAGACACAGGAGAAGGGATTGCATGCTCGTGAGCTTCCGCATTATGATAAATAATCATGCCCCTTCGTTAATTAAGCTGTCGTGCGTAATTTTCTTTGTCAAGACGTAAATATACATAAACTGTCAACGAATAGCATGTGTATATTTTATCTAAATTTTCATCGCTTTTTATTCTTTTTTTTTTCACTTTTCCTAGTTATTTCAACCGCCTCTCCGGCTTGTGGGGGAAACGGAAGCCACAGGCTTGACCAGCGAAGGCTCACACTTTGTGTGAATGATTTAAATTCGGGCTTCGGGCGTAGCTATATTAAAAATGACGCGTCTATCACAAGGAAAACTTTTCCGTGCATTGCTACATAGAAATGAACACCAGTTGAGTCGTCTCAAAACTTAAAGGCTGAACCTTCCCATATCCTTCAATCAAGTTAGGACCTTGCGAAGCGGAACGCGTCCTACCATGTTCTACATAATTGTTCTCCGAAATAAGAAAAAAAAAGAAGACGGAAAAGGTTTCGTTTTTCTTTTTTCTTCTATCGTTTCGCGCTTTGAAATTCTGCGCTGCAAGCAAGCACAGGCTCATATCTCTCACCCTTCCAGTCTCGTAGAGGCTGATTGCCGCGACCCTCTTATCGGCTATCATAAAGTGGCCTCAAGAGGACAATCGGAACGCCCTTTTCACTAAGGCTTGTGAAACACACAGCGCCTGTACAAGCTCTAGAGAAATGAAAAGTCTAGGTTGGGACTATCTTTATCACCGGAGAAAGCGCTTACAGTTACCTTTTTGTTCAAAAGTATGTCACGGACAGAGATAGAAAAAAGAGATCTACATTCTGGGACCAGGCCCGGTATCTTTAATACTGTATCGTTGTAAAATTAACGACAAAATTTTCTTATCCCACCTAATATTTTTGTTCTTTTTTTTAAACGATTTCCGAGGGAAATCAATTGTACAAGCATTTAGAATCGTTAGTGATGGTTAATGTTTTACAACGGACGGCAAAGTTGTATTGAAAAGTAAAAACATTATTTTTCAGTGTCGTTTTTTGTGCGCAATGTTTGGACCGTGTTGTTTGCACGCGATTGCTCATGTACCCCGCTCTCTAAATCCCTATCATCGCAACAGGTATGGGTATAAACCAATTAATAAAGATGCGAGTGTATCTCTGGAGAGCTACTAAGTACAGGCACGTAGCCAGGGAAAGGCCCATGGGGCCCGCCCACCCCCCCCCCCCCCCCCCCGAAATCTTCCCTTTTGAATGGACGTTTTCTCCCCCCTCCCCCTCATACAGCATTTTGTCATGGGCAGGCAGCCCCCCCCCCCCCCCCCCCCCCCCCCCCCCGAAACAAAATTCTGGCTACGTGCCTGACTAACCATAATACAATTGGAAGAACGTTGAATTGGCCTAGTAATTATGTTCTTGATTTTTTTTTTTTTTTTCTTGCCAGCTTGCTTTGTTTTTTTCGTGTGTCCACTCATGAGAATATTCCCCGTTGGCTTGTTTATAGTTCGTGGCTCAACATTGCAACGCCTCGCTCGAATCTCACAGATTATGTAACTGACTACGCGTTAAAAAAAGAAAAAGAAACTTGAGTTTATAGCTATTGTTTAACCTCAAGAGTCGTAGTAAAAACAGTTTTGGCAACTCCCGAAATGTTCGCTATTTTCCCGTTTAACACGTTGAAAGGATTTATATATTTATTTGAAGCATATATATATATATATGCTTATATATATATATATATATATATATATATATATATATATATATATATATATATATATATATATATATATATATACCCGTTGCGGACGCCAGTTATCGTGTGTCTTTTTTTTCAGTCTGAAAAATATTTCTTGTAAAACATTCATGCAGCGTATAAACTCTACATAAAACTTTTTTTTTTCAGCGCACGACACACGGAATTTGTTTTAATACGCGTATCATGAGATTGTACGGTAGGCATTAAAGTAATCTAGTTATTAGAAATGTATCGCTTTAATAATGAAGCTAGTAATTGTTTGATCACTGCTCCAATAAAGTAGTTAAGAACAATAGTATAATGATTTTTATGAAATAGCTAGGGACCCTTAGCTTCGGCGAATGTCTTCGTTTCTTATCTGAACTGATACTCTTTTTTCTTCTTTTTTTTTTTTTTTTTTTTTTTTGTCAAGAGTCGGCAGTATGCGAATGATACCCTTCAACTAATTTCTGGCATCATGAAAAAAGATTAGAGCATCTCGTAAAAACTACAAAACGCCAGTAACAAAGTTACATTTTTTTCTTCTTTTTCTTCAGTACAGAACGGCCATAAGGATACGATGTTGAGTCGAGAAACCTAGTGAAGTAGTAAAAGAATTTTAACATTGCACATAAAAGTTTTAGTTCAATTACCTTCGCCTCGTACACTGTGTTTTGTTAAATCTTCTGAATGGTCAAATGAGCTCGCAGTTGTAGTCTGTATTTCTCCATCGTATACGAAACATTTGAAGTTAGTGCAGCGATGCTGATGAGTAACACTCACACCGAAAAAAAAATTTTTTTTTTCACAGACGTTAATAAAAACAGTAATAAACGAAAATGCAGACGTTAATAAAAACAGTGATAAACGAAAATGCAGACGTTAATAAAAACAGTAATAAACTAAAACGCAGACGTTAATAAAAACGGTAAGAAACGAAAATGCGTACGCCATGGTATCGTTCAGAGAACACACTGAGACGATCCTTTCGGAGGTGTTTTCCTCGAACACCCCTGCTCAGACCAATGTGGAAAACGTGGAGCCATAAATTCGAAACACGTTTTTCCTGCTGCTGGTCGGACGCTTGCCAAACGCGTCCGGCATTGATAGACAGACCCTACGGCGATATCGCAAAGCACGCGAACATGCATATATGGACGCAAAGATAAAAACTTGGCACAAACGTACGATATAAATGCCGAGCTGTGCGTGTCAGGTTCGAATAATGGAATGGCAAATGCCGAAAACATGACCTTCATAACATACGTGACGAAGGGATTTCATTATTTCTTCGCTCGTACGAAATTGCTCGGGATAAAAGCGTCCAAGTGGGTTCGTGAATTGACACTGTCATAACGGCCGCTCGAATATATTTATATCAAGTAGTATACGCAGAAGGGATAGATTATCGTTGAGTTTGTTTTTTCTTGATTCAATATTTAAGCCAATGCGATTTTATTGTCCATTTGTAAGCTTTGATATTGTCAACAAGAATTGTACTACAGTAGGAAAAAAGTTATTTTAGATATGGCTACTGCCTACATTTGTTGGTCGTCTTTCTCTTTACAGAAAGGAAATTACAATTACTAGGACGAATATTCTAGATCATTAGCTCCAATTACCTTGACAATAGCCTCACACCTCCCCCTCTTTCTTTGTTTTGTTATTTGCTTTATACTCAACTTTGTTAATATAATATAATCCTTTCGTTTTCAGTTCAATCATATTATCAGAAAGCCGCTGCGAAACCTTCAGACCTCGCCCCCATCCCCCCCCCCCCCCCCCATTTTTTTTCTTCATGACTTACAGCAACACGTTCAGCGGAACCTTTGCATTACATTATTCATGGCGTCCATACTTCGTTTTACCGTAAGTCAAAGGGCAGACAAAAAGCCACTGTGCAGACAAACACACGCACACAAACTAAAGGTATAAGGTCACGGCATACTCCCAACACCTGAGGGAATTATCCGTCATTTATATACGCAAAGAAAGACGACAAATATCCTACCGTTCAGCTGTTGGCGTTGCTTGGTTGGCCCTGTCGGCTCGAGCTTGGGCTGCACTCTGACATGTGGTGAAACGTAGTAAGCATAATAAAAGCCTTCTTAAATATTTTTACCGAGGATGATTTTAGTTAATAGATAGTTTTTTTATCTTCTTGTACATGATTGTGTTTACATAATTTTCCAACGTAATACAAAATGTAGAGGTTAAAAAGAATGTCCCGTTTTTGGCGAAGGACCCTCTTTGAGGCGAGGTCTGTAACCCCGCTCCCTTGCATCTGTAGACAGAAAAAAGAAAAAGGAAAAAGCCCCTATCCGCTTTAAGAAACACAAATAATATACGTGTGCGAGACGTATCGGGCTTCGAGTGGTACTAAGAGAAGTTCGTCGTCCCGCAAAAGATGGCTATTGTCCTTCAATAACACCGTAATCATCTGTGAGAAGGCTCGCCACGACGTTTCGAGGGGCGGTTGCCCAGCGCTTTGAGAAAGAGCGGGAATAAGGGACTAAGCAGAATAAACATACGTTACGAGAAAGAATGACAAAGAAAAAAATGTTTTCTGTCAAAGTGCCTCGTGAGCTCGCTGGATTAATTTGTCAAAAAATGGGTACCTGACAGCTCAAAAGTATTTTCATGTGGGCACCGTCGGTGTATGTTTCTCCATCGTCTCAAATGTGGTAAAACCTGCACGAAGATAAACAAATTGGTGATGAACTAAGAAAGGTCGAAGCAGAAAAAACAATTAAGTTAAGCCTGCGCAATATGTACATGTTAATTTCCAGCGCCATTTTTTTTTTTCTGCCCGCGCTTTTTATACGGTTATTTCGGCAAACTCACCCGATCGTCAAAG